ATGCTCAGAATTTGCACCAAGTGTAGGAAATGTACTGAACACTTTTGAGCAAAGCCCACTGCTACAGAGATGTAAAATTCATCCTTCAGGCACATCATCAGCTACAAGACCTGGTTTTGCAGCCTTTTTTGTCAGGTGAGATAACAAAAGAACATAATCTGTCTTTTTTTTTTTTTTTTCTCATTTTAATTGAAATGATTGCCCAGATAGATTTTCAGCAAGATATTTCTTCCACAAAACGCTTCAACAAAAAGCAGTAACTGAAACAGAAGGGGTAGGAAAAACATGCAGAATTTCACYGTAAGCTTGCAAATCTTTCTGTCACTTCATGAAAGATGGAGCTGTGAGGGTGGGGAGGCCCTGGAATTGGTTGTCCAGCAAGATTTTGGACTCTCCATCCTTGGGAGTGTCCAAGGCCAGGCTGGACACTGCGRCTTGGAGCARTGGAAGGTGTCCCTGCCCATGGTGGGGGGTGGATTGAGATGAGCTTTAATGTCCCTTGCAACCCAAACCTTGTGTGATTCCATGATTAATCCAAGTGATGACTTATCCCAGCTCTTCCTGAGGGCTGAGAGTCATCACAACAAAATTCAGAGGATAAATTGCTCCCTACCCCCAAACGGTGCCAAATACAGCACAGAAAGGAGAACACTGTTCTGCTGGGCAGAAGTGAAAAAAGAAACAAGATAATCTCTAGTGAAATTGGAAATAAAAAACAGCCCAAGGGTATTTTCTCTCTGAGTTTCATGGTAAATACCATTCAGTTCTCGGTATCATTAATATCTGATTATTATGGCTCCTATTTAGCAGTAGCCCCACCTACTTTTGTCTCTGTTTCCCGGGCACGTCCCAGCAATTTGCCAGCTGGAGGTTGTGCTCAGAGCTGGAAATAACTGTATCATCATTTCATTAGCACCTGGCTGGGGGAGAGGATCCATTAATCTGGCTTTGGAGGCACCTACTGGGAGAAATGAGGGAGGAGGCCACTACAAACTCCGCTGTAGCGAAAGGGAAACGACAATTATTACTTTGAATTTTTCTACTTCCTCAAACAGATCCCTGCTTGATTTTTTTCCTCGTCTTCTATTTATTTTCAAGAAATAAGGTTTGATTGTTTGTTTCGTGTTACAAGAGATGTCACAGCCTCCTTTTGGCTCCAAGTGACTCAGGGTCAATGTAATCTGAAAAACAACTCAAACAGAACAAACTTGTCACAGATAAATCCCCGGGGAGTGAATTCGCTGCTGTTCTCCCTCAAAAACTATTTGCATGTTTCCCTTTCCTTTGTATCCAGTCTGGGTAGAAAAGGAAAAAGTCAGCTTGTCCTTTAGCTCTGCTGCTGAGGCCTGAATGTGGGAGGTGTTCTTGGAGAAAGGAATATCTGTGCTGGCAACAAAAGGAGCTGATCATTCAAATGCACCAAAAAGTCCTGTTAAACCCCTTTGGACCATCACGATCATCTCATCAAACTTCCTGCAAAATTCAGGCCATTCATCCTCAAACCCAGATCCAAATTGCTCTCCTCACCCTCTGAGAACTGTTTGAGCTGGAAAAAAGGCTGTGAGCATCTTCTTTTTGTGTTCATTTTAAATCTGTGCCTTGGATTTTGCCTTTGGATTTGCTGGTGCAGAGTAGCCAGGCCAGGCTTGCTTACAAAGACATCTACAAAGATTTATTTTAAATATTGCCAGAAGCAGGCTCAYATTTATAATTTTTATTAATCTATTTATTTAAGGTATTTAGAATAACTTAATACATTTAGAATCACAGAATGGTTTGGGTTGTAGGGACCTTAAARATCCTCTAATTCCACCCCCCTGCCATGGGCAGGTATCACACTCACTGGATCAGGTTGCTCATGGCYCCATTTACTGTTATTTATACTTACTTTGAATTCTATTGAAACATTTATTTATGCCTATATTTCAAATCACAGTGAATTGAAAAATGAATTTTAGAAAAGAGTTCGTTTTTGTGGTGGTTTTTTTTTTGTTTGTTTATTTGAAGAAACACTCCCCCTAAGCAGAGAAGAAAAAGAAATCAGGATTTTTTTTTTTTTTTTTGGTAGATGTAGACATTTCAAGATGTTTTTCTGTTTTTTAAATGAGGGGAAAATGAAAATAAAAATAGCATAACTCCTTCCTTTATCCAGTCATTTTTAATAGCAGAGCCCTAAAATCTGGTTTGGAAGATGGAAGATGCATTACAGAAATATCTCAGCAGGCATTTTTTTGCCCTGATCCTGGCCCAGTGACAGTAACACCCTCCCKAATATTTTTCCAACACAGGCAAGGCTGTTGAGGGCTGGTTTAGAGACCCTGGGCCGATTTTTTTTGTCCTTTGCAGTCATGCCCATGCTGGAGCCACCTCACAGGTCCAGACCACGAGTGGAGAATGCGCTGGAAAATTCAGTGATGGAGAAGCAACTACGGAAACCTCCCTGCCCGAGGCTTGTGCTGCTCAGGGCTGACGGCAGCGCTTCCGCAGCAGCTCCTGGCTGTCCATAAATCTGTCGTTCAGCGTGGGGGAGAAACAAGAGCCAGGTTTGGATAGTCCTTGCTTGTTGTGCAGGGTGACGCCAGTGCTCAGGTGTAACCTGAACCCAGGAGAGCGATGCCAACGTGTCACCATGCTCCCAGTGACTCCTCAGCCTTGAAAACTGGAGTCAAGGCTTTTTCTTCTGTTCTGGTTTGGAAAAAGGCGGAGTTTGCCCCTGAGCTCGTGGGGCTCCAGGGGCTGAGGTGGCCCATGAAGATCACAGGGAATTTAGATCCATCGGTGCTGCACCCTCTAAAATTGGAGAAGGGTTTGAGGAATTAATCCATGGCTTAATTTACACAGGAACTGCTGTCTTGCAACTCTGTTCACTGTGTTGATGTTTGGAGGACAGACAGGACGACAGAAGGAGGACAAAATTTCCAACTACTTGTCCAGGATCCTGTCACACAAACAAACTAAAATTTCTTCTGACTTCTTGTCACAGATTCTCCTGGATGACCTTTGGGGWCCTACTCATATCCTGACAGTCCTCTAAAATTCCTGTAAGGTTCTGTCTGAGGCTGGAGGGACCCCTCCTCATCACTGCACCTCCCTGTCATGGGATTCTGGAATCCCTGAGKSTGGAAAAGCCCTCCCAGCCCATGGARTCCCAGCTGTGCCCGATGCCCACCTTGTCCCCAGCCCAGAGCACTCAGTGYCACCTCCAGCCCTTCCTGGGACMCCTCYAGGGMTGGGGACTCCAAAGCTCCCTGGGCAGCCCCTGCCAAGGCCTGAGCACCCTTTCCTTGGGGAAATTCCTTCTGAGCTCCCTCCTCTGAGCTGTTTTCATCCTCTCCCACAGCTTCTGTTTGTATTTGATGAACCCTTTCAGAGGATTCTCATTTGATTTATCTCTAAAACATCATTCAAGCCACCACAATGCGATGAACAACAAAGAAATTTTAAAAATTAATAATTTTATGTCGCATCTTGTAATTCATTAAAAGAGTTCTGAAGAGCAAGTCACAGGAAATGGGGCTGGGAAAATCTATTTGCTCATCAGTCCCTGTCAGTGCTGAGCTGCTTCTCCATGGGATATTGTCAAATGCTTTTTCCAGCTTTTAATGTTTAACTGGCCAGATGAAACATTCCCATGTGGGTTCCCGTTTAGGGGGGTGGATATTGCAAGAAATGCTGAGAATCCCCCCTCACTGAGCTCTGCTGCCTTGTGGGGAAGGTGCCAGTGAAGGAAAACCAACCCAGAGCACGTAAAATCACTGGCCAGAGGTTTGGAATAACAGCTGATGGGAAGGAGAAAGATAAAGACCCCATTTGTGGGTGAAATTTTTCCAGTCTTTAAATTTAAACAAGGTTAATTTAGAAAGTTCTAGAATGGCCATATCTGTTTCCAGGGAAAAAAAAAAAGGAAGAAGAAAAAAAGAATCCTGGATTTCTCAATCAGCTCAAATGTCCCTGGCCATATGTATTGGCATTGGGACTCCTCTTTCCACACAAAACTAACCCCAAGATTAGGAACACCAGTAATTATTTGCTCAAAGTTAAGTCTAGAAATAAACCTTTTCAGAATCCAAATCTTGTTAAATATTTTGTGGTGCTGGACAGAAGGAAGACATTTCAGATTTGGAGTTATAATTAACTATTAGGAGGGAGAAAATATTGCCAAAGTTTCCTTTTCTTTTTCTCTCGTTATTCAAAGACTTTGTGTGAGCAAATGCTACACAGCTGGAGAATTGGGAGAAAATATTGGAAGAGTGATGGGGGTTAAGAGCTAGAATTGTTCAAGTGCCAATTAGATATAAATTGATACACAGGAAAAAGGAAAAAAAATGAGATAACACAGGTCAAACCTAGGAAACCCAGGTTGGACTTTTTTAGATTTAAACATGATTTTTAAGAGAATCTGATTATTTGAAACAGAATTAGAAGAGTTCAWCTCAGTCACTGAAAGTTGTTTAATGACAGCGAGTCCACTGGCATGGGAATGGAATCCCCATGGTGAGATCTGCAGCTCCMTGGGAAGTTTTCAAGGGGTACAAAGGGGAAAATAGAGGTTGGATTGAGCCAAGGTGCAGAGTCTGCAGTGCCTATTTCTAGAATTTGGATTTTGGCACAATTTGATGTGGTTTGAAGTGGTTTTCTGTCGATTTTAAAGATAATATCTGTATGTCCCCAGCAATAGCAGCCTCCATGCAGGGAGTGTTCTAAGCCATGCCTAACTGGGGTTAATGGCTTCCACTCCTTCTCAGGGGTCAGCTCCCCCAGGAGCTTCCTGATCCCTGCAAATGCCCTGCACCTCCTCTGTTCCCAGGTTTCCTGGAAGATGATGGAACAGACCTTTGGAGTTTCAGAAAGGATGAGCCACTTTGAATCACACTGACATCACCYCTGCAATTTCAGCCTTTACTCATGACACGACTGCTGCACTTTTCCCTTCCCTCCCTCTCTTCTATTTTGCAACCTGCCTTTCAMAAACACCACGAGGAACAGGATGATTTCTTTAGTTCCTCCTCCAAGGCCAGCAAATCGCAGCTGACTCAAATCCATCTGGTCCTTGTCCCCTCTGAGAGCAGCTCTGACCGGGTGAGAATTGTTTCAATTATTCTGATTGTTACTTGCCCAAGACAGTTCTGACATCAAGGATATATTTTGAAGCTCTCAAACACCTCTTAGAGGAAGAGGTTGGAGAACCTGGTGGAATGAGCCCAGAGGAGCTCTGGAGCCAGGCTGGGAGAGCTGGKGGTGCYCMCCTGGGGAAGGGAAGGATYCAGGGGCAGCTCAGAGCCCCTGCCAGGGCCTGAAGGRGCTCCRGGAGAGCTGGAGAGGGACTGGGGACAAGGGCTGGAGGGACAGGAGCCAGGGAATGGCTTCCCAGTGCCAGAGGGCAGGGCCAGATGGGATATTGGGCAGGAATTGTTCCCTGGGAGGGTGGGCAAGCTCTGGCACAGGGTGCCCAGASAAGCTGTGGCTGCCCCTGGATCCCTGGCAGAAAAGATAAAAATGCCCATTTCTACAGTTCAGCTACAAAAGTGAAAGAGGAAACAATTGGTTGGTTAATCAGCATTCATATTCCTGTTATTCCTGCTGGCTGTTCCAAGACAATGACTTTACTCTGCCTTCACTGGGAGCAGAAAGAGGCCACTTTCCCTCTGTTCTTTTTAAAAAATTATTTTATTACCTTACCAATACATTGATCWGTTTGTTGGTGAATTTGCAACACTGCTTACAGGCATTCCCAGAGTTGATTTCTGGAAATCAGTAAAATACACATCTGGAGGAAATTTGACCCAACATGTTTTGGTTCGGGGTTTTTTTTGCTTTAATCACAAAATCTTGCCGGGCACTGCGATCGATTCTTTTTTTAAACAAGAATTGCTCCAGATTAAACAAGAAAAGAGACCAAAGGTCTCTTTGGTGGATTCCAATTTTAGGTCTCACCAATCACCTTTATTCAAGACACCCAGAGTTTGCTTGTTTTGGACACTGTTCTTGTAGAGGTGTAGCTGGTGAGCATCCTGCCACTTTGATCAGCTGAACAGAGAAAACATAGAGCGAGTTCACCATTTATTATGCCAGCTGCCCAGGCAATTATTTGAAGCTCCTTAGTTCATCTGACCTTTAAAACTTACTTTAACACACAATCACATCTGATCAAGTGGAGTGTTAAGGTCAGTTCTTCCTCTCAGAGCAAAGCAGAGCCAGCCCATTGTGCAAGCAGAGGCTGGACATTTAAAGGATATTGTTCTGCAATTGCAAGAGAAGATGACTTCGAAAAATGAGAGACTAAAGGTGATGTGGATTTAAATTGTTGGTTTAGAACCAAACAAGCTGTGCCAAAACAGGGCCAAAGATAAAGTGCTGCCATTTGACCAGGCCACGATCTCTTAAACTTGACCCCGGTTGTTTTGTGCTCGAGTCCTGAGGAAAATGAAACCTGCAGGAAACATGTGCAGAATGTGGYGGGATATACCCTGTTCTCAGGCTGGAATGCTGTTGGAAAAGAGCACATTTAATCCCTGTGGACCACCTGAGGTGCTTTTCAGACATTACTGAAGAAAGGTCTAATGGCCAGGGGCAAACTGTTCCCCTCGTTCCACTCCCTGCTTCCCTCTCAGATTAAACTCCCTCTGACTTCATTGACAGTTTGGCTTAATGGAATAACAACTGGATCAATTTCAAGGTCTGACTCAGACAATGGCCCTGTGATCCACCCAGAGACAATGGCTCCTTAGGCTATTTAGGAAAAAAGCCTCTTTGGGCTGATATGATCTTTCAGGAGAAAGACTTGGCCCTTTGGCAGCTGTTGCTGTCAGAATGTTCCACTCCTGTCCRTGTTGGGGTTCCAGCTCAGGACCTCAGGATGTTCTTCATTTGGAGATGTGGGAGCTYGAAGTGAGGCAGAAGGACATGAAAGTGCCTTGATCTTGGCTTTCAGTGGTCCAGTGACAGTAGAGATGTTGGTTTTGACCAGATGGAAAGCCAAAAATCTATTTCCTGCAAGCTCCTGTGGTGGATTCCAATTTTAGGTCTCACCAATCACCTTTATTCAATTCACTGAGGGRACAACAGCTTGTAGAGGGTTAATAAGGATTAAAACATCTCCATTTGTTTGCATTCCATGTCCCATGGCATCAATTACACCTTGGATTAAGTCTTCTTAGGGCTGAGAGCTGGACTTGCTCCATCCCAGAACTCCCTTATGCCCTGGGCTGAGCCCCARCGTGGGCAGCAGGGAAGGGATTKGGATTGTGCCCCTGTGCCCCATTGCTCAGGTGAGACCCCACCTGCAGAGCCCACCTGTTTGGCAGCCTGGGACAGTGGGAGGTGTCCCTGCCATGGCAGGGGTGGCACTGGATGGGCTTTACAGTCCCTCCCAAAACCCTTCCATGATTCCAGGATTCTCCAGCTCATACTCAGCACAAAGGCTCCTCTTTTTCATCCCTTTATGGAACTCGTGCCAATGTCCCCCACTCCTGGTGCCCCCYATGTCCCCCAGAGCAGCACTATCCCCCTGCCCTGGTCACACCCTGGTGTTTCCAGGGTTCTGGGTTGGGTGCAGCCCACATTYGAGATGCCAGATCTCAGTCAGGCTCTTAGAGGCCCTAATTTTCACTTTGACAGCACAGGAAATTCTCTGACCTACTAACCCTCCCCTTCCCCCTTGAATAAAGCACAAAATGTTCTACATTTTTCCTGCCTCGGTTTCTGAAGGTATATTTTACTCCTAGGTGCCTGTGATTCTTCTGCTGCAGTTTTGTGCTTCTCCTCAGCATTGCCCAGCTCATCTTGGTCAGCTTTTTTCCAACTTTGGATAATCTGACAAAGCCTGGACTCCACCCAGCAGCCAGAGCCTTATCCACCTGTTCCTGCCTTCTTTCAGGAGACCTGGGAATCTCTCATCCACCCTCACGTGGAGGCCTGAAGGTGAGTCTCAGCATTTTGTTTCCCTTCCACATCTCAGAACATTTCCCGATCCAAAGCAGGAAAAACCTGCCTCACACAGGCCTTGTTTGAGTGGATAAAGGAGGATTAGAAACTAGGGGTGACCATGGGGGATGGGGATCAGTGGCAGGAAGCCCGTTTAGAGCCCAGTGACCAGTGGAGTGCTGGTGGTCAGCACCAGGTCCAGACCAGCTCAGGACCTTCATCTGTGGCCTGGCTGAGGGGGCAGAGGGACCTGTGCAATGCAGCAGGAGGGAGGAATGGGCTGACCAGGACCTCGTGCAGCTCAAAAGGGGTGAGAAAACAGCAAAGTCTGGCACTAGGAAAAGCAAACCTCATGACCCAGTACCTGTTGGGGAATGTCTGGCCAGGGAGCAGGACAGGACCTGGAGGTGCTGCTGGGTGCCAARGTGACCATGAGCCAGCAGCCAGGGGGGAAGGGTGTCCTGGGCTGTGCCAGGATGGTGCCAGCAGGGCGAAGGAGGGGGACTCTGCCCCTCTGCACCCCTGGAGCACTGTGCCCTGCTCGGAGCTCTTCACTGCAGAGGATCTCGGACACCCTGGGGCAGCCTATGGAGATGGTGAAAGGATGGAAAAGGCTCCTGTGGGTAGGGCTGGCAGAGCTGGGACTGTGGGAAGGCTCCAGAATCTGCTCCATGGCCAGGGACTCTGCAGGGAGAGGCAAGCAGACAGGGCCAGGCTCTGTGCAGTGGTGCCCAGGGCCAGGGCTGGAGGGAACAGGCACAAACGGGGACACAGAAGTTTCCCTGGAACATCTGGGAACACTTTTTCACTGAGAAGGAAAAGCCCAGGTTTCCCAGAGAAGCTGATGGAAACTTTCCATCCCTCAAAAACCACCTGGACACAATCCTGGGCGAGCAGGGGGTCTCCAGAGGGGCCTTCCCACCTCATCCCCATGTGATCCTGTGACAAAATGCCAGGCTGGATTTCCCAGCCCCTGTGTTGCAATAAATGTCCCAGCCCTTGCCAACCAATGGAGAATTCCAGAGGCTCACAAYGGTACCTGACAACTGCCTGCTGTTTCCCAAATTGCCCATGGATAAACGCCAGGGGTTCTCTGCCRTGTGTAAATATTAACACACGTGTGCCACGGGACAGGGGCACAGACAACCAAACGTGAGCGGGTTTATTTCTCCTCCGAACGAGCAAGGATTACTCAATGAATTAATCTGCAGTGAGTCACAAGGTAAATTTCAGTAATTGCTCAGTGTTCCATGTCATCAAAGTGGCAACCAGAGATTTATGGAAAACTGAAGATTGGCTGTTTGATAGCAGGGAGCAATCAAGCGCTGCTGTTTGTGTCCCTGGGGAAGGGGGGCCCTGCCCAAGGCGTGGGGACTCAGCAGYGCCACGTGCCAGGGGCACAAAGGGCTCTGCTGGCACGAGGAAGATGAGGGTACAGACCCCTGTGCCACTGTGAGACCCAGAGGTGACACCAGTGCCCAGCTGGTCCCTGAGGTGCTGGTTGGGTGTCACCAGAGCCAGACTCCCCTTCCCACTGCTTTGGATCCTTCGATTTCCGTGGCAGGGGACAGAGGGAAAAGGTTCTCAAAGACATTAAATTCCTGCCAGGGGCGTGAAAATTGGAAACTGGAGAGAGTGAGGGTCAACTCAGCTTCTTGCCTGGAGAAGAAAAGTTCCTGCGTGACCTCATTGTGGCCTCCCGTGCCTGAAGGAGCTGACAAGAAATGTGGAGAGARACAATTTCCAAGGGGTGGAATGACAGGAAAAGGGAGAATGGTTCCAAATGGACAGAGAGCCGTTTCGGATTAGATATCAGGAAAAAATTCCTCCCTGTGAGGGAGGGGAGGCCCTGGCACAGGGTGCCCAGAGAAGCTGTGGCTGCCCCTGGATCCCTTTGAGTGCCCAAAACCAGGCTGGACATTGGGGCTGGGAGCAGCCTGGGACAGTGGGAGGTGTCCCTGCCCAGCCCTGGATAAGCTTTAAGGTCCTTCCCAACCCAAACCATTGTGGGATTCCATGGACACYACCCATAAGGGCAGGCAGGCAGAATTCAGGGATTTGGGTGTTTGATAATGAGCATTTTGAGGCCGATTTGCCCTGGATGAGCTGCATTCCAGGCTGCTTCTTGCTTGATGGGAATCTCCAAGGGAAATGTGTTGGGAATTGGTTTGGAGGGGTGGAAGGACAACAAATGGCAGAACCATTGAATTACAGAATCACAGAGTGTTTGGAATTGGAGGGACCTGAAAGTCCAACCCATTCTACCCACTGCCATGGGCAGRGACACCTTCCACTATCTCAGGCTGCTCCATCCAGCCTGGTCTTGGACACTTGCAGAAAACCTGGCTTTATCCACACCACAGTTGTACAATAACTTGTGGAGTTTCCCCCTGTCCATGTTTTCATTCTCCATGTTCAATTTTTCTAAAACAGGGATTTAATTCAGGTCTTGAAGGAGCTGAACTTATGGTTGTTCCCTGATCTCTGTTGAGTGATTCCTGATATTTAACGGAGCATGGTAGAGCGACTTGCAACAAACATTTGGAGCCTTTTAAGAAATGCTCTGGAGACAGTTCCTATTTTCCTCACAACCTGAGTGTTCCCAGAGCTGGAATCTTGGTTCTGACCTCACTGGCACCATCATTTTTTCTTACAGTGCCTATAGGGAATGTTTGCCTTCCAGGCTGGGTGTTGGGGCTTGATGGACACACTGCCTCATCYGTTGTGGCAGTGCCTGTGCCTCCGCCAGCATCTTCTCCCAGAAATATTCTGCACATCCAACGTGCACGACACGCACCAGCACTGCGTCAAAGGGGTGACGTAGGCACACAAACACACAGTGCCCGTGGCTAAGGATGCCTTAATCACATCTTCAAAATGCACAGCGACGCGCCCAGGAAATATTTTGAGGTCTATTATCTAAGCCTGCTATGAATAAAGATTTATTTTTTYGTGTTGAACGCCGTCGTTCCCATTGGAGGACAGAGCACTGGGGCAGTGGAAATTTTTTGGTGGCGCAGTGGAAATTTTCTTGCTCTTTTTCTTAGGCTGCTCCAAACAAATCTGCACTTTGGTCTTTCCAGACAGATTACTTCAGTGGGTGCCCTCAGGAAGCTTCTTTAAGCAGAAACTTATGTAGGGCTCATGTTTTTTGCTAATTCCAAGGATTTTTGCTGGTTTCCAGCAGGTCAAGTGAGATGATTCCACCCCTATGCCCCATTGCTCAGGTGAGACCCCACCTGCAGAGCTGCTCCAGCCCTGGGGCCCAGCACMGGAAGGACGTGGAGCTGCTGGAGAGAGCCCAGAGGAGGCAGCAGGATGGTCAGAGGGATGGAGCAGCTGTGCTGGGAGGAAAGGCTGGGAGAGCTGGGATTGTTCAGCCTGGACAGGAGAAGCTTTGGGCTGAGCTCATTGTGGCCT